CCTTTTTTTTACTTGCTAGCAGTAATCCAAAATATTACATTATTTGTTAACTTGCTAACAATAATTCAATGCATAATTTGTTAACTTGCTAACAATAATCCTGAATATTATTTATTTGTTGACTTGCTAATAGTAATCCAGAATATTACACTATTTTTTTACTTGCTAACAATAATTCAATACATAATTTGTTAACTTGCTAACAATAATCCAGAATATTATATTATTTGTTGATTTCCTAAAAGTGATATAGAATGTTTTATTTTCATATTCAAAAGCGTCTGATGGAAATTTTATGTGTGTTCTACATATTGTTGCAATTAACGTTGTCACTGATTCACTATTTAGTTGGTAGTCAAAACGTTCTGCTCTATAATCTTGAAGTTTACGGTAACGAATGCAGAACCGATAAAAACAGCAAAAGAAAGAAAAAACATCTATAGGGTTATAGTAGCTATACGTGTATTTGTTAGAAATCGTAGTCTGTACGATTTAGATAAGAAAAATGCTTTGTCAACTCTTCGTGCCGGTTATACAATAATAGCGTTTCGAGGTTCATTCCTTTATACGTTCTTGTCTTTACATATGGCAATTACAAAGAAACCCTCTTGTAAACCCAGTTCTTCCAGGGGAACTAGCCTTCATCCGAGGCACACTGGGAATTATAAGTTCTATTTAGAAAAGTGTGTACGTGGTATAGGGCGGTAGTACCATTTTGGGGGGCGACATTTCAACAAAATATTGGGGGGGTCAAGATTAAACCCTGATTTCTACAAAAAACACGAACTGTTGATGACATAGAATTTTTCGGAGTTCATACATCAGTTATAATAAATGCGTAAAAACCAGAGAGTTTTGAGGAACAAAAACAAAAATATGACATGGAAATTTAAACTTTGTAAATACTAATATTAGTAATCTCCCCCTAACCAGACATTTTCTGTTTCTCAAAAAATTAAAGCAGTTGGCTCTACTGATACGAGGGTTATCAAGTACATATACTCTTTACTTAAATCGCTTTTCTCGCAAACTAGCATTGATCTTTCTTCAACCTTGAGAGATGGGTGAGTATCAGGGTCAGGTGAACACTGTTCAGAACAGACGGTGTTTCACTTAGGAATAAGCTTGCTACACTGAGAGAGTAGCCTGCTATAAAAGCGTGTCATATTGCGATCCTTTTTCCTAGATACCTCCCTCATGATTCATGCCCCATGTATGGATCAAGCTCCTCCATGACCTTCAATCTCTTCAACAGCTTCCATAAGGGGGGTCAGTAGTCGAATAACAAAAACATTAACGCGTTAGAACATCCTCTCATGGTACTTGAGCACTCTGTCACGTTTGGTAAAAACACAGTTTAAAACATAAAGCACCCCTGGAACACAAAATCCGATGCCAGGTTCTAGCGCAGCGGCCCTGAGAATCTAATCTTAAAGCCCATCATACCTGGGTGATTTTTGGGGGCGTTTTAACTCACCTTGATACCCCCTCGACAGGGGATACAGTATACAGACAAAACCACTTCGAATCCACTACCAAGTTTGGTCCTGCTAGCTCTTAAACTGTAGGGGGGGGGGTAAAAAAAATTAATACACAATGTGAATTAATAAAGATGTCTTGACGCAACACGTGCTGCATAGTGTTGGGTCCTATGTCTTGTTACAACACGTGCTGCATGATGTTGGGTCCTATGTCTTGTTACAATCCCTGCTGCATAGTGTTGGGTCCTATGTCTTGTTACAACACGTGCTGCATGATGTTGGGTCCTATGTCTTGTTACAATGCCTGCTGCATGATGTTGGGTCCTATGTCTTGTTACAACACGTGCTGCATGATGTTGGGAACTACTCTATTAATATATCCAAGTTAAAATTTGTACTGTGTGTTCTGGGTGATTGTGGTTAAAACTGATACACAGGTCAAAGTTAATATATCCAAGTTAATGTTCGTATTAAATGTTATGGGTGATTGTGGTTAAAACTGATACAGCGGTTTAAAGTTAATATATCCAAGTTAACTTTGTACTGTGTGTTCTGGGTGATTGTAGTTAAAACTAATACACAGAAAACTCTTAACTGCTAGCTTTATGTGTAACATGGTGAAAATCTAAGACGAGCAAAAGATTAGATGGAAAGTCAGTCAGAGATATAAACACATAGAAACGGGATCAATACCGAGTTTCTTAAAGAACCACAAAACCTGATGAGCACGACCTTCCCAGAAGCCTAGACAAGTCTTCTAATGTGACGGGAATTTCAGCAGTTTAATTGCCAAAAGAGCAACTAACCGAGTTAATAGGTAGAGTCAGCAATAAGCAATGTTTGCTCATCTGCTGTACGGTTGTCACACGCGAGTAGATACGAGGCCCCCTGGGTCTCGCCTTAGGCTTCATCTGTAAATAATTAATCTTGAAAAGAGTAAACGTTAATTTCAATCCTAAATCTATATTAATTAAACGCGCGTGATGCTCTTTAATATTAACTTCAGAAACATCATTAAATTCTAAGAGTAGTACTTACGTGAGAAATTACCTTTCTGTCTATCTGATATACGTGTGTGTGTGTATGTTGTCGTTCTTCACGTGTTGCCCTCCTCCAATCATCTCTGTATCTGTTATATATAAATATATATATATCCATCTGTATATTGTCATAAGCATCTCTATTTGTACTTGTATAAATGTTCATCTAAGTGTCCTTTATCAACCAGTCTGTCTTTACATACCTTTCTCTATGTGTACTTTTCTATCTATCCTTCTGTCCATTACCTACTTGATTATAGACAGCTTGTCTGGTTGTTTAATATG